GTTTTGAAAGATTAAATAAAAAGACCAATCACTTGTCCCAACATATACTTGTGTTATATTTGAGTATATATATATATATATATTACGTAAGAAAGTGTACTGAAAGTTTACAATGCATTAAAGTCTAATGTCTGATTTATAAGAGACAGAATCTAAATTCTACTTTATGGATTGAATGAGTTCAAAGCCTGGTTTATGTGGTAAATGAGTTCAAAGCCTGGTTTATGTGGTAAATGAGTTCAAAGCCTGGTTTATGTGGTAAATGAGTTTAAAGTCTGGTTTATGTGGTAAATGAGTTTAAAGCCTGGTTTATGTGGTAAATGAGTTTAAAATTTTCACTCCGCAAACTAGGCTTTGAACTCATTTACCACATAAACCAAACTTTGAACTCATTTACCACATAAACCAGGCTTTGAACTCATTTACTACATAAACCAGGCTTTAAACTAATTTACCACATAAACCAGGCGTATAAAGCCTGGTTTATAGAGTGAAAGGCTCCAAAACATTGTTTACATAATGAAAGAATCTAAAGTCCGGTTCATGGAGTGACAGAGTCCAAAGTTTAGTTTATGGGGTGAAGAGTGTAAAGCATAGTCCATTGGTTTAAATCGTTTAAAGCTTAGTTTGTGGATTAAAAAGAGCTTACGTTTGTTGAGTGAAATAGTCCAAATCCTAGTTTATGGAGTATTGTGTCCGAAGCCTGATTTTTAAGTACGCAAGACCAAAGTCTAATTTATGAAGTAGATAATGCAGTCCTAGTTTATGGAGTATAGAGTCCGAAGCTTAGTTATGGAGTGGAATAGGCCAAAGTTTGGTTATGCAGTGAAATAATTTAAAGCCTAGTTTATGGAGTACAAAATACAAATCGTAGTTTATAGAATACAGAGTCCGAAGGCTAGTTTATGGAGTGAAAGAGTCCAAGGCTGAGTTTGTGAAGTATAAAATCTAAAGCCTAATTTATGAAGAGAAATGACTATACCCTTTGTTACTCATAATAGCCATTAAAGGCTTTCACATACAACAATCCTTAATGTTAAATGTGAAGGCTTGATAAGAGTCCAAGCCTCGTGAAAGATAAATCTTTTCACTATATTCCGATATCTGATGAGCAGTAGAAAGATTTATCTGTATCTTATCTAGACCATTAGACATATTCAGTGGGGGTACACGCAGGTCGTGTACCTAGTTCTCAGTTTGCATATTTTTTTCCATTGGTCACGTTTAGTACTACTGAAGATGTTTATTAATTCTATTGTCACAGGTCAAAGGCCATGTCATCGTGTTTGTTGACTTGCATTCAAAATTTTATTGAACTACTATTTTATGAATGTATGTGAATAAGTTTAGTATCAAATTGTAGATTATAATTCAAATGTTTGTATTATACATTAGTTAGTTTCTTAATTTAAAAGTAAATATTAAAAGAACACACCTAAATATTGATTTTTTTTTTGTGTCACGTGGTATGTTGAATGCAG